GCCAGGGTCACCCCACCACATTCCCCTGCCCCGTCCTCGCCGGAGGGCAGCCAGGCATCATCACTCATTCGCTATAAACAGCACCGGCTCTGAGCACACAGAAGGAAATCCCTGTCTGTGGGTTTTTCTGCTCAGATTGCTGACAGGGAGGGTGCGTCTTGCATTTCTGGTCTCCTGTTGCCATCTGCCGTCAGCCGCCCGTACGCCCTTCCATGCTCCTTTATGGGAGGCTGCTCTGGCTGCTGTGTTTTGGAGACTGGATTGCAGGCAGGGAGAGTAAAAACTCTCAGATCAGTGTCTACACAAAAAAATTAGAAATAATTTTGCTGATTAATCCTTGTTTCACCAACAAATGTGCCTGCTCCCCTGTCTTATGGAGCTGTACTGTGAAAAATTGTGGTTTTCCTTCATAAAAGCTGGATGATGACACTTGAAAACACTGGGGAAATGTGTGATGGGACAAGAAAATGTTTTACTTCTGCATTTGTTCTGGTCTCACAGGATTCTCGCCCGTGCTTCGGCGAGGGTCTCCGGGGATGCACCCAAAAGAAGAGCAGGAACACTGACACTTCCTATCAGGACAGGGCAGACCCAGGAACTCGGAACAAAAGAATCCAAACTCTTGGAACACCGTGTCTACAAGTGCCTGGCCCAGTTGCTCGCTTTCTTTTTCTATGATGTCAAAAGTGGTAAGTTTTGCAAGAAGCTTTTTCTGTGATTAGAAAGACACCAGAGGAAACCAACTCTCTCACCAAAAATCTCTTCTCAATTAGCTTCTCATTCCTTTCTCCTATATTTAAAACCTTTCTTTTCTTTTTATTTTTTTTAAAGTAACTAATTTATCCTGGGATATTTACAGCAAAAAATGCAAGCATCATCCAGGGAGCTAGAGGAAATCATTGATAAGGCAGCCCGAACTTTTCTCCAGGGCTCTCCTTTTGTGTTCTCCAGCTGAAATCGGAGCCGTTCTTGGGGTGATGAATGAAATTTGGCGTGAAGATAGAATAATACTAGGGTAATATTTGGATTATAGATATATATAGCACCAGTGTTACGGAGTGACAATGTCCTGCCTCCTCTGTGCTCTGCTCTGCGTGTGCCAGCACGCTGCATTTCGGGCTTTTTGCCAACCAAACCCATCAATGGATGGGATTGCCCCTGTGATTATCTGCCTGGTTTTGCTGCTCCGAGCTCAGAAATAGCTTGCAAGAATTAGGGAGTCTGCGCTGAAAATTAAAACTAGATTTGAGGTTCACAGAAATGTTTTCGATTTTTTTGGAATATGTTACATAATCTGTTTTTATGCTGATGGGAAAGCAGAAACAAACATAAGAGCCAGGTTTATTTTGAGGCACCTGACACAAGGGTTTTCTGGGATGAGATGGATCACCCGCGACTAATAGCTGCCAACCAGGTGTGTAGCTGCTCTTGCCAGGGTGAAATTGCTGGTTCTACTACTCTGAGCCAGCAGCTAAGAGGGGTTTAGGGGCTGTGGTTAAGGATAGTCCCACACTACAAGCCAAAAGCCTGCTTTGGCTGGAAATTTTGAAGTGGCTTTATCCCATCTGCAGAGCTGAAGGAGGATGGACATGCCCAAGACCTCTGCTGATTTCATGTTTTCTGGTTTTGACATTTAAGATTATCTGATCTGTGGTGCTTTCTAGGAGCTGATACTTCTAATACAAGTATCAGAAACATCTCGTTTGTGTCCAGATTTTTGCAGGCGGTCAGGAAGCTGTTTAATAACATACATTTTGAAGTCAGTACAAAAGTGCCTATCTATCAAAATATCTTGAGTAAACAGGAAAGAAATACAGAAAAACTGTACGAGGGAGCAGGGGAGTGTATTCAAAGCCAGAAAGCATCTTTCGAGATGAAAGATATAAAAGGCAGAATCACCATAATGCAAGCTAAAAGAGACCAAAAATTAAAAAAATAAGGGGAAATTAAAGAAAAAGAGGCAGACATTTATTCACTTTATTTAAAGTAGTAAAAATACAGAATAAATATTTTCTCCAAAATACATATATCTGTAAAATATAATATAATTTAATCAACACCATAGAAATAAATTTATACTGATCTAAACACTCCTATCATCAGCATTATCTTTAGAAAAACATTAATTCTCGAAGTAGCATATGCCAGATCCTTACAAATCTTTAGTTGCCAGATTTACGCTGATCTAACAAAGCTGCAGGCGAAGGAAAATCTCAGGACGCGCTTCTCAGTGCTTGTGTAAGATTTTGGGTGGGGAGCTGAGCAGAGCAAACCATGGTGATCCGACATGCGTGGGTGCTATGTTCTTGTACTCCTTGCTGTCAAGTGATACACATGTACATAGCGAAGCTCAGGCGGAGCTGAAGAGGTGGAATATTGTGTGGATATGGCTTGTGCAGTTCGTCCTCCTCTGGCTTCAAAGCAGGGGCAAAGCCAGCTCTGTGCTACAAAAGTTTTGCTCATGTAATTATATTGATTAACCCTCTTTACTGTAGGTGGATATTACAGCATTGAGATTTTCCCTGCTTTCATACCTGTTCCCTGAGCTAAATCACCTATTTCAGCAGCATCAGTTGTTGTGTACTAATTTAATGGTCTACACAGGGGCTCTTCTAGCCATCTTATTGAGGATAATACCCATTCTGCTGAGGTTACGTGACGTCAGCAAAACTGGCCAGCACGAATTTGACCTTAAACCTGGAAAGTCATAGATCCCCAACCGAAATTGCTAGAGTGCCCCCTCCCCCGGCTCTGGTCCACCCTGGTTCCAAAGAAGGCAAAGGAAATTTGTATCATTCAAATTCATATGGCATCTCCATATATCACTGTTTATGGCACAGCATGCGAAACCCACGGCGTTTGGTGATGGTTAGATAAGGCACAGAGCATAAACCAGCTGCTTCTGCTCGCATCCTTCTGCAGTCACTCTCGCTGTGACTGTTCAGAAATTAATTTGACCTTTTGATGAGAAACCCCAAAGTTTTATGCCTAGTCAGGTCCTTCTGTGATACCCTGCGCTATTTGCTTTATCAAGCGTTTCAAGTTTTCATCTAGAAATACCACTGACATTTTGCCATCGATACTTTCAGAGATTACATGGCAAACACAAACAGGTACAGCCCCACTGAAACTGAAGATGTGCCCTGCCAGATTTTAACACAAGAGTACTTTTAAAAAAAATAAACTTTTTACTATTGGTTTACATTTGCAGCAATTACAGAAATGTGTAACTCTACAGTCTTGCATTTTTTGATGCTTTTCGGATGAACATCATCAGCTTTTCTATGAATATTGTTGCATTCCTTCTTTCTGTATCACATTTCCCCTGAAAAATTAATCAAGAAAATGAAATTACTTAATAGTTAACCGTTATGTAAAGCATTTTCATCTTGAAATCTTTTTATTAATGACAGGATTTTCTTTAAACATACTGATGACACACATGAATCCTTATTTTAGGGGTGATTCAAGCTGAAGACAAGAGCGAGGGAATGATAGAAATGTGAAATACTGCCAGGAGTTCTTCTGACATGAACTTGGCACAAGCAAGTACAAGAATTATTCAGACTTAAGGGCTTAGTAATGAACTATGGATCACATCTTATTGCATCTCTGCTGCGTGATCTCTGATAGACAAGAAGTCAGTTCCTACCTCTTTTGCCAGGCTTGCTGGGAGTGATTGCTTCAGTCTTTCAAAGTTTTGGAAAAAAACACTGAATTTTTTCATAGCTGGATTGGTTCTCAGTTGTTCTGTTCCTTCAAAGATTGTGCTGACACAATTCACATCCTAGGATGGAAGAAAGAGCAAAACTGAGATACAAGAATGTGCGACCATGAACTACAGTAAGTTTATTAGGAATCATCCCGAGTTACGTCCAGCTGCCTGGGTAACAGACATTGTTTCTGACTTCTGAGCTCGGATTTGCAAATGTCTCAGGCGAACATGCTTAACTGGTGTGCATATTTATTTACTCTGCAGGCAGAAACCTGGCAGGGGATCCCTTCTGCGAGCATGTGTTTCGTAATGTCCAGATGAAGCATATAATTATCTAAAGACTTGGTCCTATCTCCCCTGGAGCCCTCAAACACCAGTTTGATTCCTTACATCTGCTCATGTCAGCAGATAATTCCGGTTTGTCTTTGGTTTGGATGCGAGATGCTTTCTGCCCCAGAAGCTGGAGCTGTCTGAAGGCAGGAGAAAGAAAATAAATGAAGGTGAAGCGTTTCCAGACATTAACCTCTGTGCCAGCTGACATCTGCCTGCCAGGGGAGATGGGGACAACCGTCGCGCTCCCATCTCACAGCCCTCTGTGCCCTGTCCCATCCTGAGGGCAGCCGTGCACCGGACACCCTGGTTGTCTTCTGCAGAGCAGCAACTGGCATTTGTCCCAGAGAACTTGTGATCCAGGGAATGTGGCCAGGAAGGCTGGAAGGGGATACAGGACGGATGCAGAGCAAAGCACAATGACAGTTGCACTTGCCTGTGCGGGTTGTTTTGGAAGAGATCAGCTGAATTTGTGGAGAAGGAAAGAAGGAGAGGACGCTTCCATCAGCGTCAGGAACAGATTGGAGAGAAATGCAATGGGAGAAGAAAAGGATGAAAAACGGAGCAAAAAACTAATCAGCTAAGGTTGGAGCACTTGCAGCCAGCTGCTGAAGGTCAGCATCATGTCCACGATGTTCTCGACTGACACAGTCTCCTGTTAGTCATTCCTGGATGCTGCCTGGAGATGATAATTTTTTCCACGACCTTGCTTGGGAAGCTGTTTGCTTCTGCTGCTGCTGAACAATAAACTTTCTCTGTCATCTCTGTACCTGAAGCAGAGGTGAGAGCCGAGCAGCTCCTCTCCCTGCGGGAGAGCCCGGCACCGGCACTGTCAGAACCTTGGAAGGGAAAGGCATGAGCGAGCTGCCAGCATTCAGCACCGATGGTGCTGGGTCTGTTTTCCCTATTAAAACCGTGGATTTAAACCCAGCCCAAGTCCCAGCGGGGAAGAGAGCTCTTCCAGACAGGATCCAGAGAGAAGTGACAGAGCAGGGAACTTTACTCCAAATTTACAAGGAACGGGCTGGATTTGCCACAGAAAAAAAAAACCCAAAAATACCCCAAACAAAACCTTCCTGTTATTGTGCTTATGGCACAAATATGAACTATTCTGCTCCTTCTACAAATTAATTACTCAGATGGCATTCCCACAAGTAGCCATTTGGCTGTGATGTTATCTGAAGAGCTCTGTGCTGGCTGCGATCTCACACTGAAACCGAGTTTCCAGTCGATGAGCGGCAGAAAAAGAGCCTCTTCAGCAGCGTCTGCACCAAGAAGAATTTCTTTAAAGTCAGCTTGCAAAGACAAGATCCTTTACTCCAAGAGGGAACAGGAGACATTTCTTGACGATGCAGAAGAAAATGGCAAATGCATAAAGAGGAATGTAACCTTCCTTTTGGGACAGACCTTCATGGACACACGGTAGCCGGGGTGTTGTTCTCAGGGCATTAACACCATCCTTCAGACAAGATGTGATAATACAGCTATTTAATCCCCTTACAGATGGTAAAGGTATAAAAAGCCACTTCTAAAAGCAGACTAAACAAAGTAGCTTAAAAAGAAGTATTTTTTGCATATGGACAAGCAAGAAATGTGAACGAGTTTGTTCTTTTCTTTTTAACTGTCCTTCGTTTAAACAGCTGATTCAGAAAATCACTGTGTTCTGCCAGAGTTTTACAAACAGAACAGTAATAATTGTTGTCCTTGGCTACTTCTGTATCATAGCATATTTCTCTTCGGCTCAACATCTGATTGTTTTTAATAACATTTTAAATCTTACAATAACCTTTAGTATCTTTAATAACACTTTATATCTTCTAATAGCTACATTTGAAGTAATTGTTTGCTCTTGAATGCAAATAGGGTATTTTAGGAGATAACAATGCTAAAACTATCTCAGTTTCCAATGACTTAGTTTATGAAAAGGTTAGGTTTGTTTTTAAAAAGGGTGTTTTACTTACATCTATATTGTCTGGAGTTTCAATCCTCAGATTCTGAAAAATAACATATTAATTAAGCCTTTCAAATATCGTCGTCATTAACACTAATAAAAATAAAATGTCACATGAATAGATTGCATGACTTTCCAAAAAGTTAACTGTTAAAGAACGATAGGATTCAGTGCATGAAATTTCAGGTTAGCAAAGTGGAAATTGGACTTACCTGAACGTCGTTGGTCATTGCCTCACACATTTGCTGTAGTAATGTCAGCAATTCAGCCATGCTGCTCATCTGGGGAGCAGCAGAGATGCCCGCAGCCAGCAAAAGGAGGTAGAGATGGGTCTTCATCCTCCTGATGTGCTCAGAGAACCCCTAAGTGCTTCTGGACCAGTCCTCTACCATTTTATGGTCTCTCTACAAGGAAATAACAGTTTAGATTGATTTTGGAAACTGATAGAAAAAAAGGCCACTTGTTGAGACTTTCTGGAAGAGATCCAGTGAATTTGGTGTTTAACCTTGGGGCATACTCCTTACCCAATCAGCATTTCCACAGAAGTAGGTAATAAAGATATAAACATGTCAATTTGAAAATTGGTGAGACATAGAATGACCCAAATCATGACCAAGCAGTTGCCATCTCTGCAGCACTTCTCTAGAAATTGGAGATTTTTTGATAAGAGTGTGTGATTTTTCTGATAGGCATTAAGAAAAATGCTATGATGTAAGGAAAAAAAAACCCCAAACCGCACGGAAAATATGCGGACTACTGCCTAGAAAGAGAAAAGGACAGCGTTTATGTAATACATCTGGCAGAAGTTTGTCAAAATTCAGATATTCCATAAGAATTAATTAATTTACAGCAGGGGAAGCTACTGCTCTGGAGCGGAAGGGTAGCGCCAGGAATGGGTGCAGCAGAGCAGCTCCTTTTGGGTGGGGAAGGAGGGATGCAGGATGCCTTGAGCATGGATGGAGGATGCCCCAAGCATGGCAGCCTGGAGCCGGTGGGCAGAGCCGGGGCTGGGGACCTGATTTCATACCCCCGCTGCCCCTTCACCGTCCGAGACCTGCCAAGGGGAAAGCCCACTGGGTTTTGGTAGGGTTTAATCTAATGTCTTAATTTGTTGAAGGCGTCGTGGCTTATTATCTGGCTAAATCAGCCAACTCAGTCACTCGTGTTTCCCACTTTCCTGGAAGCTGGAAAAAAAACCCTTTTCAATTTCTTTTCAAAATGAATGGTGTCGTTTTTTCAAAAAGTGCTATCGTTCGCTTTCTGCTTGCAGGTTCCTGCCAGGACAGCAGTCCTGGTCCGGCTCAGTTTCTGCCAGGCAGGGGCAGATCTGCTGGTTGCCCTCTGCGTGGGGAGCCCCGTACCACAGCAGTTATGAGTAAGCACCTCAATACTTTGAATCGGGGAAGAAAAATATCAGCAGTGGTTGACTGCAAGCGGATCGCTGCCCATTACACTGTACCCATTTTGTCATCTCTAACAGGAAGAGTGGTTATGTTTTTTTTTTCACGTTGCCTGCTTATCTGTATAGCTTTTTCTCACCATGCAGTTCTGAGGATCGTATCCTTGCAGGACCATGGACTCTGCACCAGCTGGGGGCTCTGTGGAGAACCTGCCTGGCACTGCCAGTTGCCCTTGGGCTGAATTTATGTGTCTTGCAGCTGAAAATATTACACCCAGTTCTCGGTCGGCTATGAATTTGGCATTTTACAGCTCATTTCTTCTGGTCTACCCACCTCATACTGATTTTTTTGACCAAGTGTCCTGTCCCCTTTGGCTGGCACCCGGCTGTACCTGTCAGCCAGGCTGAGGTTTCACCCCATCCTTGGACACCTCTGCAGACAGCTTAGGTTTGAATTGCTGCAGGGCCTCAAGGTTGATGGGCAAATCTCTGGTTTTTTCCCCTTTTTCCTCAGCTGACAGTTGGTTCACCTCACACTGAGGGATTGCCCACAGAGCCGCTGACCACTGCCGTCTCCCGCGTCGGGGCTGCTCATTGCAGCACATCTGTCTCCACTTCTGTTCCTGGCCGGCACAGCTGCTGACAGATTTTCTGTCTCAGCCTTTCCTTTCCCCCCACGCCTTCATCTGGGATTTTTGACCAGTTCTGTGGAATCCTAGCATTGCCCCAGGACTTCGTTATGAACCTTACTTTTATTTTTTCTCCCTTTGATAAATTTTGGGTGTTTTGTGTTCAGGGAATAATCTTCAGTTCCCGAGAACTACAGGGTATTTTTGATGCAGATATCAGGAGCACGAGCTGACCTTTCAGCCGAGCTTTGGCTAGTTCCCAAAGGAGACTGGTTCCTCACCTCTTCATCACCACTCTCTCTTCTTGTGACACAGTCCACAACTTAGACTTTGCAGTGCAAGGGTTTTCTTTTCCCTCCTTCCCCCCCCCCCCTTTTTTTTTTTTTTTTTTTTTCCCCTCTTCTGCTTGAGATAACAGAACTACCCAAGCACTAGCTTCTCTCTCTAAGCTGGCTCAGTGTCCCTATACGAACTGAGGTCGCATCTTCCAGCCTCAGGTGTGTTACTGTCCTGATGGTTTGGTTTTGGTTTATTTAAGGTGAATGCAGGGTTAAGGAGACGAAGGACGATGTGAGAACAGAATAGTGCAACGTACACAACAGGCCCTAGCCTTCTCGGTGCTGTACACCTTCGATCCCTATAGGTCTAGAATTTGTCTGCTCTGTGCATGTGGGCAGAGAAAATGGATAGATAGAAAAGGTAGGAATCGGAATAAGAATAGAAAATATTTCTGAAGAAACTCTGGAGGCTGGAGAAAAAGGAAGTGGAAATTCCAAACTAAAAATTCATCCAAAGTAAGCGGATTAATCCAAAGTGACTCAGTTTGAATTTGGAATGATCAGGAATGTGGAAGTGAATAAATAATGTAATTAATTAGTCAGTCCTGATACTACTGAAATAGGTATTTCAGTGGAAGTCAGGGTGTGATAAGCAACGTTCGTGGTATGGCTGATTTAGGAATATTATTGACAAAAGAATCAGATGATGCTACACACGTGAAAACCTAAAAACTGTGTGAGCTGCTGCAGATGCTGGAGCTGCAAGCTGGGATCATCATCCAGGGCAAGGGCTTCTCTGCATCAAGAAATGGGGATTCCTGGGGGTATGTGCCTGGATTAACAGGCTGGATAGACTCGACGAGTGCCTTGTAAGAACTGAGCAAGTCGGTCTGCTGCCGCAGCATGCTCACCAAGCCTGTCACGGGGGAGACTAATGCTGAGCTTAAGCATGAGCTTCTCGGAACCTGCTTGTGGCTCAGTTGCATTGCCAGCACCCGGGGAGCTGCTCAGCGCTTGCTGCCAGGTACCCAGTGCAGGATTAATCCCCCCCGGGTGTAGCAGTGCCGCGAAGCCCCTGCAGAAACCACGGCAGATGGAAACACTGCGGTGCCCAGGGGAGTTGGACCTAAAGCAGCGCAGAGGAACTGGTGAGCTGTCGTATGCTACTTTCACCTTCATATCTGCTTGCTGGCATCATTAGCTGGAAGCTGCAACTCTGCAGTAGCTGCTTTTGCTCCTTCATCTAGATAAGCATGGAGCTACGATGCTCAGATAAAGTTTCTTTACTGGTGCGGGTACGTAATGCAACGTGGTGCAGTAGCTCGTGCCTCTCTAGCCTGCTGGGCTCAAGAAAATGGAAATTTCTGAAAATCAGGGATCAGACTTTGTTTCCTAGACCATCCTTCCCCTGACAATGGCAATGGCTGCTTGAAGGGGCAGGTCCCAGGGGAGGTGGAGGACTCGGTTGGAGCAGCGCTGCAGGGTGCAGGTAATGCCAGGCGGGGGGTTTCGGGGTACGGAGCCCCCTGCCATCCACCCCATTCCCTCTTGTTCTGAGGTGTCAGGAGCGAGGCGGGGGTCCATGGGGTATCCAAGGGGTGTCCCCTGGTGCCCCAGAGCTGCTGGCTGGGGCCTGCAGCCCATGGGTGCCATGAAATGGTGTGTGGGTGTTTCGGGGGTAAATGGAGCCCTAGGGCTGAGTGACATTTGTGACTGACCCTGCATTGTGTCCTTTTCCCCCTTATCTGAAAGGGCAGGCTAGATGTATGAGGATATCACAGGGCTTTGGAGTATTTTTTGAATCCTTCTTAATAAATGAGCAGCTTTCAACTAATTTAATCTCGCACAGGGAAAGTACATTTCATCACCTAACCTTGTTAGTAAACGTTATGTCTCATTTGCTAAAGATAAGTGTTTCCTGGGCATCTCTGAAGTGGCTGCGATGTCCCTCCTGAGCAGATGCTCTGTGGCCTCATACCGATTTCAGCTGCTGCCAGAGCCACGTATTTGGCCACATAAATTCTGCAGCGGTGGTTTTGTGGGAATCCTTCCTGATCGGCTCTTCACTCCTGGGAAAGCAGAGCTGCCCAGGACCGCAGAGTTTGCCTCCTCCTGAGTTGGATCCAGCCCAATGCCCAGGGACGACCCCCCACCGCCGGCTCTCGTTGCTATTAGAGCATGAACACACTTTAAGCGACCTGCAGAAATGCTCTGAAATGCTCTCGCGCAGTGGTTATGTTTCAGTAGTATGTGCTGGGGGCTTAGTTTAAAGCAATACGGCTGAAATGGAGTTTTATCTTATCCTGGGTAAGTTTTATCTTATTTCGGACCCCCAACTCACCCATTTCCTGGGGTTGTAGAGGCTGTTTTAACCCATAGTTATACTCTCACCTATATATGCAGGTGTGTATATATATATATAAATATATAGGTGTGTATGCTGTCACCTATAGAGAAAAGTCAGGTAAGTGCAAAAAGCAGGTCACTACCAGGGGGCTAGTCATATTGACAGGATTTAGGGAATGAATCCGTAGCTATTTGCTGCCTTCCACCAGCACATGCCCCTTGATAGGGCAGCTGGTACAGCAAGGGGTATACACGTGTGCAAAACCAGGCTGGAGTGCTCCAGCAGCGAGCAGGAATCCTGCTTCGTGCAACGGAGGGAAAAGCTAAACCTCTTGCCAGAAGAGCATCCAAAGTAGCCTCTCCGGGGTGTGGTGCCTGGAGCATCTCTGCCACAGCAACTGCCAGGCTGCTTATTCAAAGGTCAGTCCCAAGCCAGGGAAATTGAGAAATTTTGTAAAACTGCTCTTGACTTAAATTACGTGAAGTAAAATGTTTTCTTATGAAACGGGCTGTTAAGAGGAATGTTGTTTACAGCTCTGTAAGGGTCCGTGGGACCAACTGCTTTCTGGAAACATGCGCAATATCTGACCTGTTTGTTTTCGGAGGAGAAAAGTTTTAACTCTGCTTGGGGAGATGGGAGCCTGCCAGAGGTGGGCTGGGTCAGGGGTACACTGGGAACAATGCTC